ACATGGAGCTGTCCAGGTACTGGCAATTCTTTAGAGGTGTGCGGTGCAGTGATCAGGCCACACTGACGAAGGGGCTGTACAGACCTCATAGACAGGTCAAGCATAAACCAGGCTTTACACTTCACTTGCAAGTGTTTGTGCATGCTCAAAATATCAATATTTTTAAAAAGCACAGGCTTGAATGGGCTGTTACCCCAAGAAGTAAATATCACAACAACAGCAAGATTGACAAACACAAGCTGTTCAATGAGTAAAAAAAACTGTGATTACTCCTCAAACAAGATCATAATTATACTATTTTACTTCCTGATTAAAATTGTGTGATGTTCACAGTATGATGCAATTTAACCACTGTAGTTTGGATTTTCCCCAAAGCGGATGTGTTTTACTTTCCCACTCCAAGTGAGACACTCTATCTTGGAGTGTGACTGATGATACTGTATACCCTTACAATAGCTGCAAAGGTCCAACACTGAGAAGTGCAGTTGAAATTGCAAGCAGCCTGCATGGACTCAATCACATCAATGTTTTCTGATTGCTCAGAACATCATACGACATAATTTTTTTGTTGGATCATAAACCACAGTGGCTGAGGGGTGCAAACATCTTCTTTATACATTTTTACAGGAAATTGAAAAGGTCTTGCAAACTTAAAAACCTTGACTTTCAAAATCAAAAATTTGCATACTTAAAAAGTAGAATGGTAAACACAAACAATATTGTTTGTTCAATCCCTAAGCCTGACTATTTACAATCTCAATTAAAGATATCCATATACATAATATATACAGAAACCAGAAGCAGGAGGGAGGTGCATAAGAAGGGAGCATGACACTATGGAAAACTCTAAGCCCTTTAGTCCCTCTGTGCTACAACTATGACAGCCAGCTATGCCCTGCTCCTCCTCACCTGCTGTCTGTCCATCACTTTATTGTGTTCTTTTTTGTGTTTACTATGATGTACAGCCTGCAAAACCAAGAATGGAGCTCCCAATAATTACTGAAACATCCTTATAACCATTGTTTGTTAAACATGTTTCTAAATGTAGCTATAAATACTGCTGAACCCTGGAACAGGTGCACTAAAAATTTTATTCCTTTGGTAATTGCTTATTCCAGAATGAAGCATAGATACATAAATGTGAATAGCAAAAAAAAAAAAATTGTTTTTGCGTTAATCTTTTTATTACATAAGCATTTTTTTTTATTTCATTTTATTGCAAAAAAAAAACATTAAAGACTTTGCTAAAAGTCACTTAAGTGCTTATTGGTTGTTTGAATACATAAAGCCAACTTGTTTTAACTGAAATGATCTTTGATCAGCTGACCAGATGCAGAAAACACCCGCCTTATATATCTGTTAGTTAAATGCAACAAAATTAAATACTCAAACCATTTTCACTAGATTCAGAGTTTCTACCTCAAGAGCATTCAGTATATTTTTCAAATGAACCTGATGTGCATGTAAGGCTCTGAAGCAGTTGAAGGTTCACTTGGACCTCAGACTGGCTTTGTAAAAAAAAAAATATTCTCACTGTTTGCCTCTCTCTTGAATCCCCCCCCCACACACACACACCCACACACACACCCCAGACCCACACACAAATGCACACACTCACAACTTCCTCAGCTCCAGCTGTGTCTTAAGAAGTCAGTGCCAGACTGATAATCTGACTGGGATAGAAGTTACCGGATCTGTATCCATTACAGAATATAATACCCTTCAGTCAGAACCTCTCCACACTTCTACTAACTGAACATTTTGGAGGTCATCTGAAGATAATCATCCCTTATAACAACCTTAGAGCCATATGTCAAGATCAGTGCTTTCTCTTTCAAAATTTAAAATGTACTTTTATCAGTAAAAAAGCCTTTTAGATCCTGTCTTAATAATTTCTACCATGGACAACCACAGTTTGTGCTACAGTAAGGCTAACATCCAAGCTGTACTTTAGTACTTCTTATGCTGAATGCTTCCTATAACTCACAGAATCACTTTACCTCTCAGCACTAAAGCTTTTACATAAGTGGTTTAATGCAAGGAAATCAAATTTACAAGTGAATGGATGCAACCAGGCTGAACACCTTTTAGATTGGGAAGTAAAAAAAGAGAAAAAAAGTTTGTACAATAACTCCACTCTCAAGGACCCTGCCTCTTAAAAATTATATTTTTCAACAAACATGGCGAAGTCACTTTTCAACAAGCGCAATACCTTCTCCCCTGCATGTCATAAAAGTCTAAATGGAAAACTTTTGGATTCTAAACACAGACACAACAAAAAAACAACAACTTATAAATTCAGTAGAATTACCCACATTGCACAGAACTAAAGAAAATGATAAAAGTTGTTTGTCTTTGAAATGGATATTTATTCCTTAGATGTGCAACGGCTTTATAAGATACCAGTGACAAAAGCAAAGCAACTGGCACAGACTGTGAAAACTGATACAGTAGTGCTTATTCCCACCAAGGACAATGAAATGTAAGCTATCATGCTCCCTCTTCACTTCCCAGAACTCACATTGAGGGCCACAGCCCGGTGTAGGTGGAAGGTCACATAAATATGTGCACGTGTGTTATTTACAAAGTGTGTGAAGAGTGTGCTCCCAATTCTCCTTGTAAAGTAATGAATACAATGTCCTTTTATTTGTTTGCTTCTGAGACAATGACAAAAATGCCAGAGGGCAAAGTGTGCTCTTCGGAAAGACACAACAGAGAAGCTGTCAGTAGCTTGCCCTCATACTAGCTGACTCCATAAATCAATTCAGTTCATAAAGAGAACTTGTGATCAAAATAAACACGATTGTTTAGAAAGGAAACCAGAAAAACACATATTTAACTGCACCTGTTTTGACTTTCTTTCTTTCTTTCTTTCTTTCTTTCTTTCTTTCTTTCTTTCTTTCTTTCTTTCTTTCTTTCTTTCTTTCTTTCTTACTGACTGACTGAAAAACTAACACTGCTTTGTTAGTCAGAGGAGAATCTAAAAAATCAAATAACATCACAAATTTTCTGCTGCATTTAAGCGCCATTTTTCTACACAAGATTTAAATTGATTCCTTTGATGAGATTTATTAGTGAAAATGTAATGGAAAAGATGGTTAGATTCAGGCTCCTCTGATGGAAGCATAATGGCGTTCTAATAGATTTCAAATCTTAAAAGAAATGTTTGTTTGGACCCTGACTTTACCTTTTGCAAACTCCAAGAAAAGGCTGCCTCACCATCAGTTGGGGATATTTGAAAGTAAGAGGCATTATTAACGTGCGTCTAAACCGAAAAATTAAATGTGTGGGTGTTATTTGTAGAAAAAAAATAGCTTGGAGTAATTCTGTTTTTTGCGATGGTGGTCCACTAATGCCAAATTATTTCTAACTTTATCTAAGGCTTTAAAGACCAAAGCCTTGGTATATTCATCATTCATCAAGTAATATCAGGCCTTCTAAACAATGTAAACGGGGTTTGGGCAAAAAGCATATCAACGGAGGGTTTAAAGCTATCTTAGGAGAATGTTAAAGAAAATAAAAATTGTGACTTAATCGACATATTTAACAAACCAATTCGTTTTACTAAAAAAAAGGTTAAAAAGGTGTTTTTATTTCCTTTGATGAAAATTGAGAAATAGAAATGCAGCAGTTTATTTAACATGTGAATTTCTACTGTAAATATTAATTCCATAAGATTGAATTTGGGCTTTAATCTCTGGTAGCTCTTTTCTGACCTTGTAGGCTTATTGATCAGGGCAAAATAAATAAACTAAATGTTTGTGACAACTTTAATAGCTACTTATCCAACAGGTGGTTAAAGGAGCATGCATAAAAAGAAGTGTGACTACAGGAGGTTCACAATCACAGGAGAGACAGACAAGAGAAACGGTTGACAAGAGCGGAGGACAATCTCAACACAAAGCGGTATCAGGAATTAGCCAGTGCAGGACTCCCAATTAAAATAAGCGTTGGTCTCTTTAAATAGAAGATGGATGATAGAAAGACAATCAAAGAGAGTTAGAGAAATATTCAAACTGTTATATTAATACAGTAAAGCCCAATATTATTCATACACGTGGTATATTTAAATTTAACTCTATTTTTACTTTAACAAAGATCATTGCTTTAGTAATGAGGCACACATTGGTCAATTATTGTTTTTCAAAGAGATTTAAAGCCTTTTAGGTCTTTTTTTGCTATCACCTTCTCCATCAAAGGTAGGTTGAGAGTCTGAAGGGCAGCTTACCAGTAATATTATTGCTGTTACATCTCTCAAGAATAAAAACTTTTGAGAAATCAAAGTCTACTTAAAGCATATATTAGTCTGGTGTATTAATTTTTTATTTTTTTTTAGCTGAGTTACATATATTATACGGTATGAAAAAAAAAGTGAAATGATATGCAAAAGTAACCAGCCAGTATTTCCTAGATTTATCAAGATATAACAAATGTTTAAGATACTAATTTGACATACTCTCTTTACAACACCTTGAAAGTCACAAAGTAGATACCAAACATGGACACACTCAATGCAGCTGACGCTGGTAAACATAACAACTGTCATATTTCTTCTTCATATTTTAAGTAAAATTAACTGACTAAATGCTGTTTTTTTTCAATGTCTATATATTGATGTCTATATAGTCACACACACACGCGCAAACACACACACACACACATATATATATATATATATATATATATATATATATATATATATACATATGTGTTTTTTGTTTGTTTGTTTTTTTTTAATCCTTGCAACCCCACTGACTAAATGTTTCATTTAGAGTGCAGACATGATTTCTGCAAAACTTCTGAACAGTTACTGCCTTTACATATCATTCATGTTATACTGATACTGAATACTAAAGTTTGCATATCAAAGACAAGTCAAAGAAAACACACATTTGCAACAGTATTAAAAAGCATTTCATGTAACATCGCTGCACAGCCGAGGTAAAAACAGCCCAAGTGTGGATGGCAGTATACAAATGAAAAAGTTTAAAGTAACTCACCACTGGCGTGTTGCTGGAGGCAAAACAGTCCAAGCAATAAAAGAAAACTCTGGCTCCAGAGAGAGAGAGAGAGGCAGCCCCTCGGCGGTTCTCCCTGCCTTGGCATGGTACAAGTCTCCCTCTTCTGCTCCTCACTTTTCGTCTGTGCTCTGTTCTTCAGCTCTCTCTACACGCCAGTCTCCACCACTAACACACACTGGCTCCCCTTCTGAGTGAGTGTGTGTAGTATGTGTCAGAGGGGGAGTGAGAGCAGGACGGGGAGGAAGTATCAGACATGCAAGCCACTGGGTGCGTGTGTTGGTTTGTCGCAATGTGAGAAAGCACACACCACACAGAATACATCAGCATCTGCAGCAGCCGTTGGTGCTGATTGTCCTCCAACCTGGTCTGACAGTAGCAGTGAGGCAAGCTGAAAGATAAACAGACAGGGAGGGAGAGAAAAAGGTTGGGAGGGGGGTTAACTTTTCTTTCCTTGTAGGGAGGACTGACCAGCTCCATACACATTCACTCACACAGGGATGGAAAGAAAACGGGGGCAGGGAGCAGACCTGAGCAAGATGGTATTCTGAAAAAAAGGGCGTATGGAGGACATTGAAAACACGCTTTGAAATGTAAGGAAATATGAGTATAAAGGTAATTCTGCATCAATAAAGGTAGTATAAAGGTAATTCTGCATCAATCTTGAAATAAGATTCATCTTGAGATAAGAGGTTCTTTTTTGCAGTGACAAGCTGAAAGTGTTTATTTCAAACATGAGGCTCATAACTAAGGCTGCTGACTGTTTAGGCTTTTTATTCTAAATTTTACAAATGAGGCTTTTCTTCGGGGCATTTTTGTATATAACTTTTCTAGAAACAATTTCAGACTGTCTGCCTTGGTGGACCTTTTATACCTAAACAAACAACCCAAGATAAACATTTTAATGACCAAATTAAGTAATTGGAAATAAAATATGGTTAAACATTTCTCTTAGAATAATATCTATCAGCAGGAGTCTGCTCAGTGTTATTTAAGTTTGATCAGGCATCCTGATCTGCCATATTTGACAACTGTTGAGCACTATATGGCATTAGAATTATGGTCCGTGTCTTACAGTGCCATTCAAAGGATTCTCAATTATACTTTTCATAAGAGGATATTGCACTCTTCACAAAAAATCTACAAATTTGTCTGCAAGCATTGAGGACTTCAGTTTCCACAAGAATTTGCCCAGCACCTTTCTCTGTACAGCTTCACTGCTGCATCTTTACTTCACTCTGTTGTCTGGGTGATTGCGACGATATTTATACTCTTTCACAGATTTCACTTCTCCCACAATGGAGATATTTTTTGACATATTCCTATTTCTGTAGAAATCTCCATCCTCCTCCTTTGCTTTGTTCCAATTTAAATGACTGCCTCAAAGCAGTCTGGATTGGCTTCTGGTTCACTTATAATAGCAGATATCTGCAGTGGTCTGGTATTTCTGCAGGTGTCGAACTATAACTTAGACTGAATGTCTGAAATATATAAACTTAAAAGGAGTGGCAAGAGTACAATCTCCTCTGGTGATCTTGTACTGCTGGCCATAAGGTCACACACACAAAACATCAATCAAAGAGTATGTGTTGGTGCAGAGAGGGGGAATGCAAAGTCAGAATCAAGATTTTTTGGGTTTGCACTTCACTAGGCTGGAGGTACAAAGGCACACTTAGCTGGAAACCTGAGACAAAACAATGGGGACAGGCAATATTTAGGTTAAAAAAAGGCAATAGTGGCAACTTTGTCTGACAAAGATTAGGCTAGGATATGGTAGCTTGGTAACTCAATCATGAAGAACGCTTCAAGAGGGCACTAAGGATACTTTAAATACAGCCAGAACAGGTGAGTGACTTTATGAGTGAATTGGCGTCTGATGAGTTACATTGCCAGTGACAAACTATCATAGCCGCAAATAACTCTGGGCCAAACATGACCAGTGTGTACCTTCATAAATTTACATTCTCTGACTGATGATTCTTTATCCTAGTGTGATTCTCTGTTCCAAAGCTGATCTAGATGTGGGTGTGATGTCATTTACAAGTTGAGAATGCCGTATTTGTAATAACAAAAAGGATTTGATTGTTATTGTGTAGCTAAATACTAAAAGCAATAAAAACCAAGACTACAGTATAACTCTCTCTTGCATTCAATACAAAATTAACTTCTGGGAAAATACAATTAATTTAATTCAATTCAGGTAATTTATATACCGCCAATTCACAACACATGTAATTTGAAGGCACTGAACAGAGACAATTCAACCAGATCCTACAGTGATATTGGTTCAAAGTTTTCTATCTAAGGAAAATGAGCTGATTGCATCTACTTATTGACTCAAAGGCAATCCCTACCACTAAGCATGTTTGTAGCAACAGTGGAAAGGAAAAACTCCCTTTTAACAGGAAGAAACCCTAAAGCAAAACCAGGCTCAGTGTCAGCCTGGCTCTGCTGTAATCAAAGAGGGGGTTAAATCAATAACTTGTTAATTCCTATATTCTACCTTACACACAATTTTTTGAAATTTTTTAAATGATATTTCTAAATTCGTGAAATTCCTCCTCCTGTATTTTTGCACAAAGAGAATGCAAAATACCTGAAGATTAGCAGAACCTCTTTCAATAAAAAAAAGAAAAATGAAACTTTTCACCAGTTATTCAAGAACTGAACTAATTAAGTAAAAGTATGAAGTTGCAATGCACCACAACAAAGTGGATATCCAGTTTTTGCTTTGATCTATAATAACACAAAATTCTCATGCAAATAAATGAAGAGCTTTAGATAACAGCCTTTAGCGGAAATAAGAAAACAGGCCATTTTATCCATATGCATAACAATATCTAAATCCAACTGTGTTAAAAGTTATATGACTGATAACTCTGCAGACTAAACTTCCATTAGTCAAAATCACATGTCAGAGAGCAATGTTTTATTGTCTAATATTTTATTATGCATATTTAGAAATAAAAGTGTTATAAAAACCCCTCTGTTAACTAATCTTCTCATAGTGGTGTGTTGTTCAGGTGGCTGGCAGAGACACTTTGAAGGAGCTGTTATAGATTACATCACCCAGGCTTAGGGCTTTTATACTAATAAATAAATGGGCTGAGACATAATAGGCCATTTCCTTTCCAGAGCTATCCTTTTGCCTTAAAGGCATTCACTGCTGACATAACTTTGTGTGTATGTGTGCGTTTCTGTATTGAATATTTTCCTTTCAACACAAAACAATGCATTGTTGGTCTGATCATTCACTATATGAAAAGCTGTTTTTTCAGTGCAACATATTTGTTGATTTTATTAAATAGTTTTAATATTTAATAAAATAATATTTAATAAAATATTTATTTTAATAAATAGTTTTTTAATAAGTGCTTCCAGTTTATGTTTTTGTAAGTAAAGACAAAGAATTGGAATAAGGTTAAATAAGGCTAATTAATATTTTTTATTTCAGATATCAGGAATGAAGAAAGCATTGCAGATATCCAAAATATAATTTCTGACATCTAAAAAATATTTTTATTTGTACAAATGTCTTTACAGATATCTACAACTAAATTTGTACTAGGAATAATTACATTGTGGATATCTATAATTCCCATTCTTCCAATCTAAATTAGAAATGACTACTTTTATGCAACTGATTATTGATGCAACGTACTGTATGAGTCGGACACTGATGAGCACCTCATCCAGGAAGTCGTTATTCCCACTTGATAGCACCGTCGGAAAATATTTCCCTCTGGAATAAAATGGAGGCAGACATGGACAGAACTTCTGCTTGTGACAGACTTTCTGGTGAATTTGCTCATGCAGGCAGTGTGTCCCTCGTTTGAGGATGAGCTCATTTCAGTTTCTTTCGATTCTGTCAATTAGACTATCACCGGCGCCATTACTGCTTCAAAATCCAGAGAGCAAGCTAAAGTCACCAAACCGTCTTGGATTTTAGGTTCAAAAGCCTTAAACTATGTAAGATATGCTATTTTCAGTCATTGATTCTTGATATCTGAAATAAAAATTATGACCAGAAACAAATGAATTACAGAAAAATGAAATTCATTTTTAGATATCCAGAATGTTTATTTTAGATAGGAGTAATATTCATTTTGGATATATGGAAGTAACGGCCCAATACACATAAATGGGGAAATGTGACATCATTTGTACTAGTAACAATTATTTGTGATTTACAAATGGAACAATAGAGAGGAGTGCCTTATAAATGTAAAACAACCTGCCATATCTCACTTCATATAAACGTACTCTTTAACTCAAGCAACAATCTTCTCCTTCGCCATCATCCTCCCCTTTTGTAGCTGTTGCGCTTTCTCTTTCTTTTAAACACGTTCTCCTTTTTTATCTTATTTTTTTTGTATTTCTGCATTAAAATCTCTAGTTTCAGTGGAGTAAAAGTGCCACTTCCTGTTGCCTGTTGTCATGCTGACTTGTCGGATCAGTGCTCTACTGATAAGGGCTTTTCATACTTGTTGTGCACGCACTTAACTCTGAGAGGACCTAGTTAAAATTGATTGAAATAATTCATAGCAGCCGTTGTGAAAACAAATACTCAGAGTTCCTGACTTTAGGCTACATCAATTTAGAGTTGCAGATTTGAATCTGAATTTATTAAACCGGTTTCGTGAAACACGCCTCTGGAAGTAAAAACCCAATACACATGAATGGGATTTGTTCTTGTAAGAATTACATTTAAGATATCTGAAATGTATATTTTAGATATGAAGAATGTTTTAGATCAGAAATTTTCATTTTGATTAGGAAGAAATGCATTTGAGACATCTGAAACATATATTCAGTCAAGCTAATTAATGTCAAAAGGGCCACTTAAAATTTGTCAAGATTTCTAGGTATTTGAAAGTTTATTCCTACTAGTACAATTATATTTTTGGCATCCTGAAATTTAATTTTACTTGCAAAAATGTAATTTAGGATATCTATACGTACCGTTCTGGCTAGTAGGAATATAGTTTTGACCAGGAAGAATGTTATTTTAGAGATCAACAAATGGAACAATAAAGCGAACAGCGCTTCAAATATGTGCCAAACAGCCTGTGATATACTTCTGTCTGTCTGTTCTTTAATCTTTCTCTCTCTCCCCTTCTCCAGTGAACCAGAATGTCATTTCAAGCATGTCTAACTGTGGGAAGCCTTTTAAAAACTGTGACAGCGTTTGTCCCCAATAGCTGTGAAACTGTGTACGTGAATGTGGGTGTTTGTGCTTCATGGGGGCCAGCTTTCAATACCTTCAAGTAACTGTTTTTGAAGGGGTCACTTCTCGATTTACACATGATATCTTGTCTTCAGGCAAATCAGCACAGACATGCATCAAACACGTACACACAAATGAACACAAACACGCACAAATCCCTTTCT